ATTTATAAATTAATTGACAACGGATTCTTTCAAATATTCTTTCGAAAATTTTTTCAAATCTAGAAGTCTTTCTAAATTTGAGAAATTTTCCTTAGGTTTAAAAGTGTCGCGTAATTATGAGATTGATCTATAATATTATTGATTGTTTAAGTACTTCGTGAATAAATCGCGAGATTCTGAATTAGACATGGAAAGAAATTTCGAAGATTCGATAATTAAATTATTTTTCAAATTGAAGAAAAATCACAAATTATCAAATAATCGAAAAATATAAATCTTGTAAATTATTTAAATTATCAAAATTTTTAAATTAAATTCACAGAATATTGAATTATAATATATTATATTATAATATATATTAAATTCTAAAATTTATGAACTATCAAAATTTTAAAACTGTTAAATAATCAGAATGCATCAAATCTTATCTTATGATTCTTATGAACTTATCTATGAATTATCAGAATTAATCGAATCATCAGAATTCGTTGAACTTAGAATTTAAAATTGAATTTTAGAACTGATTAAACTTTTCCAAGTTTTCAGAACTTTTCTATTTAATTTTCATGAAAATCTGAATTTTGAATTCATATTATTGAATTTTATAATAAACTAATTTTATTAATTTATTAACAAATATCTATTCGTAAAAAGAAATGAAATTAAAAATTATTTTATATCTATTAAAAAAAATAATAAATTAATTTTAATAATTTTACTAAATTTATTATTCTTTATCAAAAATAATAAAATAAAAATAATTATAATAATTGTTAATTGTAATCTTAAAAGAATTCTATAATAAATAGATTTTACATTATATTAAATAAAAATGCGAAATCAATTTCATCCCAAATAGATAATATAGACATTATATATATATGTTCAAATATACAAGAAGTATAAAAAGTCAATATAAAGATCATTATAATGTAATTTTATATTTTTGATTACTTTTCGGTCAATTACAAGGAAAATAAAAGTTATTATAATATAAATATATAACACAAATATTCTAAATCTATCATTGTATGTTCCATATTTTTCTTTTTTTTTCTTGTTATTTAAATAACACTATACTTTTAGAAGTTATTTTTAAAAATTTTGATACACATCGAAATATAATGTATCAACTTATGTTTTAGAATTTTTTATTCGTATATGAATAGAATAAAAAAAAATTTAATCTTGATTTCAAAATTAGTGATTTTTGCACATATTTTTATTTATAGATCTTCAAGGAATCAGATATAGAATCAGAATAGAATCGTATTAATATCTCTACATTTAATTTCTTTACATCCTATAATATTCACTGAAAATTATATATATATTTTATATATATATATTAAAATTATATATATATTTTATATATATATATTTTATCATTTTTGTAAAAGAATTCAAGTACTATACTATTATATTAGATTTAGAGTAAAATTGCCACTTCTAATAAAACTAAAAAATAAAGCAACAATTCAATGGACTATCGTAAACAATAAAATAACTATACGTGAAAAGAAAGAGTAAAATGATTTGAATTTTTATTATAATAATTGAATTTTATAAAAAATATATTTTATCAGTATATTATAATCAGAGTTCTATAATTGATATACAATTAATCATTTGTATTATCTATTTAATATATTACAATTTTGAACTTATTGTATAATTAAAATATATGTTAATAATTATTGAAATTATATATATTTATTTTTTAAATATTACTTTATTTAAAATTTATTAAAAAATATATATAAATAAAGCAAAAGTAGAGAAAATTAAAAATTAAATAAATTATTATATAATTATATTAGTATAATATTGTATAATTAAATATTTAAAAAATTATATAATTAATTATATAATATATAAGTATGTTTAAGATCCTATTTATACAATAAATTTAATTAAACAATATTTATACAATAAATAAATATATAAAATAAATAAATAAAATATAATAAATAAAATATAAAAATAAATAAATTGTATATGTTACGGTTTTATTTTACATATTTTGAAAATAAATTATTGAAAATTCTATACGTACGAATGCATACATTGTATATATATATGAAAAATATTGAATCGAGTATATATATAAATATACTAATCATACGATAATATATATTTAACATTGTACATATATGTTAATATGTACTTTGCATATTATATATATATTATATATTAATATACATTATATATATTATAAATATAAATGAAAAATGATATCAAGAAATGATAAAAAGAAAATAATACTTATTTCTAAGCATAATAAATATACTACATAGATATAAGTTCGACAATGTAATTTAAATTATTCTAATACATATTTTTCATTTAAGTGTAATAAAATAGCAAAAAAAAATCATATATCAATTTTTTAGAAATTATTGTAAAAGGAAGATTTCCCTTTACAAAATGCTTTCAAAAATCCCGAAAAAAGTTTTTTAAACTTTCTAAAATCATTTGAATTTATAAAATTAAAAAAAAATTTGATTTTAATATTTATTATTAAAATTAATTATATTAATTAATTTGATAATAAAAAACAATTCAAAAAAAAAGTTCGAGATTAAAAATAAAAACTTTGTGCCTATTAAGGCACAAATTATTAAATTTCAAATAGAATATTATATAATTTTTTTTACGAAATTGTAATACTTCAAATAATTTTTCGATCGAAATTTAATACAATACAAAATTAAATTGGTTATAACTAGTTTGCGAATTATACAAATGCATATTTTTACAAAAAATACAGATAAATTAATAAAATTTGAATAAAAAATGTTTTATTAAACATTATCTAAAAATATATCTTTTATTTTATATATTTTCCATATGTTTTACATGTTTTTATTAAAAAAACACATATTATATTTGTATATTTTTTCATATTTCATATCTATTAATGATTAAATCATAAATTGGCAAAAAATTATAATTATTTTTTAATAACATTTTTATATTTCTTTTGATTTTCCATTTTTTATATATGAATAATATTTTTCATATATAAAATTTTTCATATACTTGTACAAACTTTTAAATTTATTTTAGTTTTTGACTTTTCAAAAATGTTAATAAATATAATATAATAAATATATTATAATAAATATATTATAATAAAAATATATTAATTAAAATATATATATCAATGTTAAAAAAAAACTAGAATGTGATATAAATAGATAAATAATAAAATCTTATACAAGATATTATTATATTTATAAGACATTTTTGTCGAGTTGATTCTAAAAATCAAACCAAATATATAAAACTAANATATATATGAATATATCATATATGAATATATGAATAATTATCGTTAGATGATACAATAATATAATATATATATTATACATAATATATATATATACAATAATGAAAGAACTATCTTATTTTCATGTAATAAATTTTAATGAATACTACTTTTTTATAATTTGATAAAATTATTATTAGATTACATATTCAAATATTATTAATTCTCATATAATATTAATTATATATAAATATTATAAATTTTATTTATATATAAAATAAATTTTATTTTAGTCTTTTATACAAATATAAAAGTTATTATTTGAATATAGCGGTCAAAAATGGCAATTTTTGTTTTTAATTTCGAATATAGATGGCATCTTGCACAGAAAAGTACTATTTATGTCAAATTACAATTTAAATGTTAATTTCATCAAAATATAAGAAAGTAACGAAGCAAAGATCTATTAATAAAAAAATATACGAATCTATAATTATGTTTCCATTTTTGTGTAAAAGTACAATTCGTACTTTTTTTGTAAGTTATTTATTATAATAATCTATATTATAATTCTCATATCATAACCTCTTCAATAATCTTATGTAACTTTGTTTATTTATATATATTTTTTACATATTTTATATTTATCAAAATCAATTTTAAATTTTAATTTAATAAGAATATTTTAAAATTCAATTATTTTTCTTATTTCTTATCCTTATTTATTTAAAATAAATAAATTAAATAACTTCAATATCAATTAATATCAGATACTTTTAAATATATCTATATTATCAATATTACTATTAATAAAACTATATTATAAATATATTATCAATATATTATTTTTATTCTTATTTTACATACAATTTACATACAATTTTGAAATATTTTTTTTTATCTATAAATTATTTTTCTTTTAAGAAAATAAGATTTATTATATAAGAAAAGTAAATACTTTATGTAATACTTTATAAAATCTGAATTC